TGTGAACCAGATGGGGTTTGAATTCACATGAAACAGGATTAAATGTGCCTGCTTAAAAGCACAGAGTGCTGAAGGAAAATGTCAGACATGGACGTTTTACCAGTATTAGATCGGTAATGGAAGGCTCACATGATTGCTCTTGTATTAGCTCCCTGCTGCTACCTGAAAGCATTGTTGTGATGTATTTGCAGCTTGACAGCTGTTAGTGAAACATAAATATAGTTTGTAATTTTGTGTGTGTGTGTTCTGCTGTGCACATTGTCAGTCCTCATTTTACTACAATCTTGTTTCATCTGTTTGATATTTTTTCTGCTGTGTTTGGCTTGGCTTTGCATCCCTGACTCATCTTCATTGGTGAGGGGTAATTCTGCTGAGCCACCTCTTAGCTTCTGGCTACTGACTAGAGAGATTTTAGTGAAACTGTTTTTCCAACACAAATGCAAACCTTTAATTGTGGGACTACGTTTTCTCAGCATTGGTTATGTAAGAAAATGTTTAGTCTTGTAGTGGTGACTCTTGACCTTCTGGAGTAAAGGAGGAAGAAGTGTGAAGTCAAGAGTGAAATCTCGAGGAAGGTAAAGAAGTGAGCACCAATAGGGACAAGATATCACACAGAAAAGCCCTATAGGTGTGGTCAACGAGTGGTAAATGGAAACCAGTGGATAACGGCTACATGTAGATATGAGTAAGACACTGCTTCACTGCTACTTAGGAGACATTCTCTATGCATGTTAAATATCTAGGATAATAACATCACCTACATGCAACTCTAGATGCATGTTTCAAAACGCAGTTCTGTATTAGAAGCTGTGATGGTGATGGAGGGTGTTGGACTGCTTGTACGTTTCCACTCGTTTAAATCTGATCCCTGTTAGATTCCAGGTTTTCCTCCTTTGTAGAGCTGCAGTGTCCCAACATTCAATGCCAGGATTTTACAAATATATGTTTCAAGTCTCGAAAACAACATTTATCTTTTAATTAAAAGGCTGTTTTGTACCTAATTTTTTTCTGTTTTACAAGGTCTATTTGACAAAGTCAGTGTTGATTTTTTTGCCACGACGATCCAGCAAAAATGGTTAAAAATCAGCAGAGCTGAAACCTCTAATGAGACATGGAGAACAGGCTGTAAAATATTCCTCCTCTCCTCTTTGGGTTAACCCCCACCCCCACCTCAGCACCTCCTCACCTCTTGTTCTTTTTTCCACCTCTTTATTTTAATATATATAACTGGCTGCAAATTCACTGCTGTTCATTACCCAGGCAGGGTCAAATCCCCAAACAATGTGTTTGGTGCCACAATAAAAAGGGTGTTTTTTACGGCGTGTAGCAGTAAAATGCTATTAAACAGATAAAACACCGGCAACGAGCATCAGGAGGATTATAAAAAGAATTGCCTTGATAAACTCTGCATATCTGCGCGGCGACACACCAGCAGCTCTCGTCTCTCCAGTCCTGGGTAGGACGAGCCAGAGACCGAGGAGCACATGGTCTCAGAATTTTCGCAGCTTTACAGCGCCACCATGTGGTAAGGTCGAAATACCAATTTTTGGTTCCGGGGAAGAGGAAAAAGAATGAAGGTAAAAAGAAAGAACCTTGGACTGCATAACCATTTTCACAAATGCACAGCAGCCCTGAAGTTCTCCAGGCATTGCCCAGCAGAGCTGTGCATGAGAACAAAGCTCATGAGAACAGAGCTTATTATTCATATCCATCTATATTGGTGTGGTTGGAGAGGGTTTGAGCAGTGAAGTGTGTAAATTATTCTTTTTCTTCTACCACTTCTTCTTTCTTTGCATTTTTCTCAAAGATTGGCATTGTCATAATTTGTGTGGCATTTTTAATCCCTCGCTTCCTCTGAATCTTTGCACCATTCATCGTCTACTCTAAACATCCATCCATCAGATTTCTGAGCCTCATATCCACATCGGGGTGGGAAGAGAGCTGGAGCTTATCACTGCTATTATTAGGAAAGTGGGGGGTTACACCTTGAACAAATCACCAGTTCATTGCAAGGCTAATACGGGGAGGCAGCTGCTCACATCCACACCACGAGCCAACTTGAATTCATTCATTTCCCTAACAGTCTCCTGTGCTGGGAAGAAAATGGAGCAGGCACTGGTAGAAAATGCAAAGTCCATAACAAAGGCTGACGAGGAGGTTTGAACCTAGAACATTGCTGGTAAAACAAAGTTCTAGGTTCCACCCTGTTTTCTCCCAAAATGAGGTCTCAACAAAAATCGACGACAACAACTCACTGAATGCATCTGTACAGATTCAAATTAGACACTATATATATATCTATATATCGATAACTAAAATCTAGCAATGGTTAAATGGGGGAAGGTTGAGGGTGGTACAGCGCTGTCAAGAAGATCCTGCGTTCAAATTCAGCTCCTTCTGGCAGGGATAGCTCAGTAGGTAACGTGGTGGCCCCATGATCGGAAGGTTGGGGGTTCGATTCCCCTGAACAGCTACCCTGAGGTACCCCTGAGCAAGGTACCGTCCCTTCACACTGCTCCCTGGGTGCCCAATGGCTGCCCACTGCTTCACTGAGTGAATGGGTTAAGGGCAGAGAGGAATTTCCCCATGGGGATCAATAAACTACACTTTCTTTCAGTGTGCAGTGTGCAAGTTCTCCACAGGTCTGGACACCCTGGCCAAAGACATCCATATTAGGTTAATTGGTGATTCTAAATGTGAGCGTGACAGATTGTGTTGGCCCTGCGATAGACTGGCGACCTGTCTAAGTGTACCTGACAGCTGGGATAAGCTTCTGAATTGAATAAACAGAAGAAGATGGATGGATTATTAAATAATAATTAAAACTCAGTACATCTGTCCATCACACTGCCACCTGGTGTCAGTTCACAAATCTACACCTCTCTTTATGAGAGTATTTTTCATGTCGCAACATCACCAAAGAATTTGACATATTCTTTGACAATCAAATCAAATTTTAAACGTACTTTGTGCATATTGCACAAAGTACGTTTAAAATTTGATTATTTCTGACTGTCATGAGCCTTTTAATGATGACAGCTTGGACACTGATCATATCCACTTTATTTCTTCTACATTGAACATCACAACAATCTGTTACATCTGATTATGTAATGTCTGATATAGCCATATTTGTTCATTTCTACATATAGAATGTTTTTTGTTGCAAGATTTAAAAATCTAGCTGATATATTTTTGCTCATTCTTGGATGTGTGATACAGAATATTTTTTATCAGGATTTAATTATGTATGTATGTATGTAAAATTCTAACCCAGTGATTAGGTAGTAAAACTGGATCTGTGTCCTCTTGAGTCCCAGGCTGGAGTTCAGTCTCCTCATTAGCATATAAACGCCTGAGAGAAAATCTGCAAGTACTTCACATTAAGTTTGCAAAGTTCTCTCTCTCTCTCTCTCTTGTTTGCCTTTGGCTGATCTCTTGAAAACTTCTCACTTGAGATGGCTTACGTTTTCTAGCAGATTGAATGTCTGCGAAATCTATTCGTGCACATGCTCAGCTGGTCTTATGCTGCCCTCTTGTGGTTAGATTCTGAATGGCTACAGCAAGTTGGTCTTTTTCACAGCAAAAAGTTGGGTTGTCATAATTTGAAAATCATTACGTGTGCTAAAAGCTTTAACTTTTTCTTCATTTCATCAGAGGCTCTCAGTAAACCATTACAATGTACTTATTTCTGATTAATGTGAAAATGATGTACACTGTATCTCTTGTAGTGTGGTTACAAAGAAAGTGAAAGGTGATGAAATGCAGGGCATCTTCACCATCACTGTGAGTCAGACTGTGCTTTGGTGTCAGTAAGGATAAGCTTAATACTGTTTCTGCTGTAAAGTTTTTGCAAGAATTGTACTGACACTGACTTTAATTCCAGCTGTGTGCAAGAAGCAGCATTCATCTTTTGAATAAATCTATTCATGAAGAGTTTTCCTCTGGGACCTGCCTGAAACTTACTGCAAGAAACACCAGAACAACTAATGGATCTAAGTGTAATCCTCATGCTAAAAGTAGAAGAAAATGGAAGATAGATATATAGATAGAATTTTAAGGGCTTAAGTTAAAACTGCATATTTTCATTTTAAATGTTTTTCCTAATTTGTAGATCCCCAACGAATGAACGAGTGTACAGGCGTAGTTCAGTACATCAGACAGGCTCTTTAAGACAAACAGACTATCACAATGAGATGTTACAAAGTTGTAACTGGAGGCAGTAACTAGATAACTTGAAGAAACAAGACTTAATGTGCCCCAGGAAATATTCAGTAACACATAATTATATTTCCATGTGGTAGTAAAAGCACAGACCTGTTACAGTCGAGCAGAGGTTTCATTAGTTTGAAAAGCAAGTTAAAATCCTTTTAAAAAAATCCCCCGTGAAGTTAGATATTTAACCTTGTTATAATACATTTCTAATAATACAAGTTGTGATCTATAATCGCAGTACTTGATAAAAATTAATAAATATTTTTTTAAAAACCCCGCAGCTCCACTAAACTAACAAATCAATACAACTAACTGGGGGCCACTGGGAGAGGCAATCAAGGCTGAGGAGCGCCCAATGATGTATAAGTTTCAGATAAAACCACGGGGCTTCCAAATTAATTAGTTAACTGGACTGTGTTTGTATTAATACCGTTGAAAATATATATATTAAAAAAAAAACATAGAAAAAAAATAGAAAGTAGCTTGTCTGTCACTAATATTTTACAGAATTTCTGTTTCCTGCTTTGTCATATGTCTAATACGGCTTTAGATGAACGCAGCGACCCTCACGTTTACAACACGCTTTTATGACCACCAGCTTTAGCTGACAGATTTTTATTGCTTTTGTTGTGTAATTACTGAATTGCAAATAAACCGCGTATTGTTTTTTTTAGTTATTTTGCCAGACGTTTCATGGGGCACGAGGGTGTCGTTGCTATCCGTTCATTCTCGGCATTTTCCGGCATTATCCGTCTGCACTTCGTTTATTTCCGGTCAGCGTCGCCATCTGCTTTCTCGTCCTTCTCCAATCTCCGTGTTGTTGTTCCCGGTGACGCGGCGGAGGTGTAGCCTGACGCGGGCTCTTACGTGTCGGCCAGAATAAAAGTGGAGCTCCGGAGGCCTGGGAGTGACGAAGGGAGACTGTATCGGTAAGGACGAAGCGGTGTCCGGGGCTCACAGGGACGGGACACTGCCGTAGAAAGTGTCGGTCTGGTCGGGTTCGGCCCGAAGCAAACAAAGAGATCATGGCGCCGCGGTGTGTTTGTAGCAGGATGGAGGGAGGGGAGTCTGCGGCTGTTTGGGAGAAACGGAGCAGATGTGTGGCTTTGCTAGTGAACCAGGATGGGCAGAGTGTTAAGACACAACAAACGGCGGTCGGACTTTAGCTTTGTTAATACGCTCACATGTAAATGATGCTGTAGCTGACTGAGCTTTCTGCGCAAAGATTTGCGCTGTTTCCCTCCCGTTAAAGGCGCACTGAAAACACTAGCTACGATATTTGCGTTTTTCTCCGTCACTTGAGAGACTTGATTGTTATTCTTTTATATGTACATGAATATGTACATTTACATGTATGATTGCATACCCATTTGTATCGACGCTCTTTCGTGGTTAGTGATTTTGCTCCGAGTTTGCGTCGATGTGCACACAGAAATGTGACATCGTAGGCCTCAGCGTTTGGTCGCCCGTTAAAAACATAACCCACGGGCCTGTGGATTTAACGCACATCGTGTGTCTGCGGTCTCATTACTTTTTTTAAAAAATTGCGGCACATCTCCTGGGATGTGATCGGTGTGCGTTGAGGGGGCGTTACCCGGCCATGTGGCGCTGCTGTCACACACGGAGCATCCGAGTGATTTTTGAAAAGCAGAGGGAGAAATGTGTAAAGCCAATCATGCAGCGGGGAGAAGCTACGCACTGTGTGAGATCACGGAGCTCAAAGAACAACACGTCCCAGATCAACACTCGCTGCATCGCCTGAAGTCAGGCGGGGATCACCTCTCCAAAGCTCCTTTATTAGAATCATAGTTAATGTGGGGCCTTTGGGTTAGGAGCAGCTAAGTTGAGTTTGAAGTGTGACCTCCTGATAATTGATCAGGATTTGTTAGGGAAGCCCAAGATGCCCTTCATGATCATTAACCATTTTTATTTTATTAAAGAAAAAAGAAGTTCAATAATTTTCCTTTCCAAAATAAAAGCATTTTGTGTGTGTTTGTTATTGAAGATGACGTGGGGCACGCCCATGTGTCCCCTTGGAATTACCCTGGATCACCTTTGTATGTGTTAATGAGTAGATTTGCATCTTCACAAAATAATTTCTATCCCATTGTTTGGGACATTTTTTTCTTTCATAAACATTTGTAACTTTATCAAAACCTGCCCATGCAGACAATGGTGAAAACACAATTCAGATGCACAATATAGTGTCTAGTGCAGGGATGTCAAACATAAGGCCCAGGTGCTCGAATTAGCACGGCAAAAACTCCAACCCAGCCCCCTTAACAGCTTTGGAAAATGTGAAGAAAAGCAATGATTTAATTTTAAATGTAAAAGTATTAATGGAATTAAAATAACATAAACCCTGAACATAAAGATGTCAGTTTTGATTCATCTTCAACTAACTGCTCGGCTCCAAACTCACCTTCCTGGACGTGAGGACAAGGTCGAATTTTTTTGCTGTTAGATCCTGATCAACCCTGTCTTTATTTGGGGCTGAATTTCTCATATATGAACAGTGAAGTTACTGCTCTTGGCGTGACTCCTTTATACATGCGCACAGTTGTCTCACTTTAAAAACAGAATTATTCTGATGCTTCACATATGTTATAAACAGCTGAAATAACTGTCTTAGTACTTAATAATTACTCATTTAAATAACAGTAATGTGAAAAAACAGGAAATTCCTTCTTTTTTTTATTTTATTACAGGACAGTCTTGTTTGTGAGCCCCCAGAACTTTTTCTGTAATTTTACAGAAATAATTTAAGCCCAAAAAGTTGTGCACTTCTTTCAGTTACTACAGCAGTAATTCTCTGTCTTGTAGAAAGACTGTTGAAAGTGCACTGCTTTCACTTATATTTGATATATAAAATGTGCAGTTAGACTTGTTTATGTTTAACTGCATTTTTTTGTCTTCCCCGCGCAATTGGTTAATATTGTTAACTCCCTGAAAATGGCTTCAGCAGCAAAATTAAGATGTTGATCAAGCTCTGATAATGTGGTCTGAATTACACAAACAAAATGAAATTGTTGATAATCTCTAAGAACAAGCTAACCTGTGATTTGGTTATTTTTTTAAGCCTCTGTCACAGAATATGTCACTAGGGTGACCAGATGTTTCTCTGTTTTTATTCCTTATCCCTCGACCCACATCTTGAGACAGTGTCCCACATTTTCTAAAGGCTGATTTTTACTCTGTGTATATGAAGGAATGGCTTTTTTAAATTACAGTTGGAAGGAGGACGTTGGCCTGTCTGATGTCATACTCATCAGGGAAAGTCACACGTCAGCAAAAAGTCACACTCTTTGCAGATTTTGTTGAATATGATGGAAGCTACCATGAAGAAAATCAAGCGGCAATATGTCCTTAAAAAGAGTTTTTGTCTTTCTTTGCTAGTTATTTTTCAATTTCACAGAGAGGCAAAATACGGTGTGAAGCGACGATACGCGTGTCATAATTGGATAGGGCATGTCAGTCTGTGGATGCATTCAAACTGAAACCGAAAAACTGTTCCCAAACAGAAGAGCAGATGAGATAACGTGGAATAAAAGAGAATACAGGAGTGTAGAGATGATTTTCAGCCTCTTTTATCTTATTGCTCCTCACGGTTTTATTCATTGAGATTCGTAAGGCTATTGTGAATACTTTACCGTTTGACGTATGTCAACAATCCTGGCTGTGCTGTGATTTCAGCTGCATTTACATAATAACAGTAAGTGAAGTGATCACAAGTTTTCATCTGACAGGGTGCTCTGCTCTCTGTCACACTGAAACCTCTGCTCACTCTGAACAGAGCAGAGATAAAGTGTCGTGCCTGCGTCGGGAGAGTAAGGCCTTGTTGTGAAGCAGTGTTGTCTGTGGGTGTTTTCAGAGTAATGACATGGTAAAAACAACCTTTCCAGGGGAATGAATATTCAGTTATTTCCCAATGCATCCAGGTCATGTTTGTTATATGAATGTGTGCCAAGTGTTGTAGCAGATATGCGGTGTTACTTTTAGTCACTGAAACTATTTTTCCTGCAGTTTTCAGTTTTATTCTGATGTTGTTTTTACTAAAGCCAAAAATGTGAGCAAATAACAGACACAGCATTGTTATTTGGCACAAACTGATTGAGTTGTGCAGTCGGCTGAGTGTTTGACTTTTCCTCCAGTCAAACACTCAGCCGACTGAGTGGGCAAAGTTACGTGACAACACAGTAGTATGTTTGAAAGGGGATAGTACATAAAAGTATTAATGGAATTAAAATAATAAAAACCCTGATCAGAGGTTCTGAATGTCAGTTTTGATTCATCTTCAACTAACTGCTCAGCTCCAAACTCACCTTCCTGGACGTGAAGACACAGTCGGATTTTTTTGCTGTTAGATCCTGATCAATCCTGTCTTTGTTTGGGGCTGAATTTCTCATATATGAACAGTGAAGTTACTGCTCTGGGTTTGTTGGTATGTTATAAACAGCTGAACTAACTCAAAAACCTTTTTAACATTTTACTGTAAAGTTATATTTTACAATATTTACATTTGTAGTAATGTGAATAAGTTGAATGACAGAAACCTGCAGGGGAACCACTTAAAATGTATTGTGCTTAAATTTTAGGGAGAAAAGTCTTTTTTTTTTTAGATTAGCTCGGGAAATGTGAGACTGTGAAACCGACTGAAAGCAGACGCTACACTGAAAGCATGAGAGCTGAAAACCCTGTTGGCCTTTTCTGTTCTTGCTGCTGTTACCCAAAGCAGTCGTCTTTTGCTGAGCTGACAAACTCGTAGAGAAGCAGAAGAGTAGTAGCTTTGTGACGCCATTCTCTCAGAGGTATGCTGTGTTTAAATTCATGCAGAATTATTTTAAGGTCTGACCTAGTAAGTAATTGCAGTTCTGCCTTTACAGAAAAGTGACCAGGGTTTACATTCAGACATGAAGACGACAAATGCCTTCAGCTTATTGTAAAGCAGTGCGGGCTTTAAATACCAGAACATTGCACAGGTATAGAAGAAGCTCCAGGAGATTTTATTATTGATGATTAGCATCATAAAAGCCATATTTTTTTAAGAGAATGATAGTATGTTAAACCTCTTTACTCAGATGGCCAGTGGTTGACAACTGTTGTTATGTTTACTGTTATTGACTCCTTGGTGACTCATTCTGAGTCATCTAGTTTGGTGTTTTTATTTAAGTGGAAGTTTAAATTCAAACATATTCTAAGCTTCAGTCAGCTTCTGACACCTGGCAAGTCGTTTGCTGCAGCTCCCCAAAAGCTTCGTTTTAACACGTTCATTCAAATCTGTACCCAGGTTACAACATCAGGTTAGCCAATGAAGATGGAGTCAGCAGCAGAGGTTCAGCAGGGGGCAGAGACTGCTGTGACTGAGACGGAGAACCAGCAGATCACCCCGGCACAGATTGCTACTTTGGCGCAGGTATCAATCACGTGATGAAGATGATGTTGACACAATTTCCCCTACTTTCAGTGCGTTCAGTGCCCATCTTGAAGTGTGTTAAAATGCATGTGATAGCTCAGTCATATCACCTCTGAATTTAGGTGTCCATGGCAGCAGGACATGCTTCAGCAACAGGTCCCACAGTAACACTGGTACAGCTGCCCAACGGACAGACGGTTCAGGTCCACGGTGTGATCCAGGCTGCGCAGCCATCTGTAATCCAGTCCCCACAGGTCCAAGCCGTACAGGTGAAGCTTGAGCAGTACTGTCTTTTTATTCAGCCTTAGCACAAGATCATTAGCCATGAAGTGTTGATTAATGTCTTGTTCTTTTGATTGATGCTCCAGATCTCCACCATAGCAGAAAGCGAGGATTCGCAGGAGTCTGTAGACAGTGTGACCGACTCTCAGAAGCGCAGAGAGATTCTGTCACGGCGCCCCTCATACAGGTAATTAAGACATTCAAGACAGTGGTGTTATGCCACAGACGAGTCTAAAGCTTTGGGGGAAAACTGTCAGATGGCCACTAAACCATTTTCATTTGGCTCTGTAAATTTCAGGAATCGAGAAGTAGTTCCCAAAAGTTAAATTTCTTCTTGCTTGATAAAATTGATAAAATTGTGCATATTGGTTGCAATACAATCTGCTAATTTTAGTTTGTGTGTGTGTGTGTGTGGGGGGGGGGATATTGGTGTGCCTACAGCATGGATATGGGCATTTCTTTTATTTGTATTCCCCCAAAAACGAGTGCAAACTGCAAACTGCATCCCGGACAGAAACAACTCCATTACGGTGCTAAACCAAGCTCCTTGCAAGCATCTACAGAGTCAGTGTGCTAACGTTAACCTAGCCTAGAACCCAAAATGATGTTAAAACTGAATGAATGCAGACCCCAGTCCAGCAGCCAGATCCTGAACTTGAAGAGCTAACAAAGGCAGTGATGAGCAGTCAGGCTGCAGCCTCATTTTCTATTTGTTTCTAAAGTAGACTCACTGTGATGCCTTAAAGTCTCTTTGTGCTGATTTTCACCTTTGCTTTGTGCTGATTGCTTTGTTTTTATACCTAAATTCTAAATAAAAGGTCATATGTGTGTCCACATTAGGATTTGTGTTGGTGTGTGGCCTCAGATTTATATTGTTAAAGGTTTATTATGAGACAAATAAGTTAAATCCAAATGTAATGTAACAAGTAGTAGTAGTATACCAAATTATGTTTTCATGGGAGCAATTGTAATAATGTAATATTACTGCATTAATATTTACAGGAAGGATACAAATAAGCAGTGAAAGATGCTTTATGGAACAGAACACTGTTTGATGTTTAAAGAGAGAGTTTGCTTTCACTTTGGTAGCTGATGTCTATTTTTAGATTTCACAGGGCACTGGCTGTCTCGCTTGCCCTGACTTAACGCTCATGCTAAGGCTGATACATTATTTTATATGGATAACTAGGATTGACAGTAAATCCACTTCTGCGTGTCCTAACAGGAAAATTCTGAACGACCTTTCGTCTGATGCACCTGCTGTCCCTCGTATCGAGGAAGAAAAGGCCGAAGAAGACTCATCTGCTGCTGCCGCCACACCTGCAATCACCACTGTTACTGTCCCGACACCCATCTACCAGACCAGCAGCGGCCAATACAGTAAGTGACATTTGGTTCAGTAATTAAATTATGTTAAGTTATTTTAGTAATTAAAAGAATATAATTAGGAATTAAAATATAAAATATTTATAATAATTAAAGCAATTTAACCATCAACCTCACTACTTCATGTGAAGTCTTAAATGATCTCCCCAGTAATACAAAAACCTTGATTACTTAATATAAATGTAAACATATTGAGGGAGATCACACTAGGATTAAAATATGTTATGTTTTCAGTGCAGTTTAAAGCATTTTTAAATGACTTAAACTGGGTTAAGAAAGTAAAGGGCAGTTAATATTCCACATATTCATCACATCGAGGAAGACAATGAGTCTGACCTGTTTAGCTAATTGTTTTGTTTGTGGGGCAGTCCAAGAAATGTTTAACAGTTTGTGCAAGTTCATCACAGAAATACAGTTTGATGCTTCATGTTTGATTAAGCGCAAGACTCTAAAAGAAACAATAACAACTTCACAGCACATTCATCACAATGTTTTCTTTATGGGAAGACTGGAGAGCGAAGAACGATAAGAATGAAACAAATTTATAATGTGTTTTCTGTCCTTTTATTTTTCTCCCCTTTCATTTGTCCCTCAAATAGTTGCAATCACACAGGGTGGAGCCATTCAGTTGGCCAATAATGGCACAGATGGAGTACAGGGCCTTCAGACTCTGACTATGACCAATGCAGCAGCAGCCCAGCCTGGTGCCACCATACTGCAGTATGCACAGACCAGTGACGGCCAGCAGATACTGGTTCCCAGCAACCAGGTGGTGGTCCAAGGTAAGAGTGGCAGTCTATTATCCATGAGCACAGCCATTCTTCAAAGCATTCTTTTGTCTTTGGCAGCAAAGACAAAAACATTTGGATGTTCATCGTTAGTAAACAAGATAGTTAAACAATGAACTAGGTTCATTAAGAGGCCAAATTAAACATCTGCTTTCTGTCAAATTTTCCTGTTAGCTGCCTCAGGTGACGTTCAGGCCTATCAGATCCGAGCAGCCCCTGCCAGCACCATTGCTCCCGGGGTAGTCATGGCCTCGTCCCCTGCTCTTCCGACCCAGGGTGCCACTGAGGAGGTCACCAGAAAACGCGAGGTCCGCCTCATGAAGAACAGGTATAAAAAAGGAGGACTGTGTGTTTTTGTGTTTGTTTGTTTTGTAATGTCTTTGCAGTTTCTTCAAATACATTTCTACGGCTGCAAGCACCAGGAATCGCAGGGTATTCATAGCAAGTTAATAGTGATTCATAGTAGTGAGTATGTTTCAGCCCAGAGTTTGGTACATTTGAGAAGTGTTCACATTGCAGGTATTAGAAAGGAGGCTAATGAGTACCCATCAAATCCAACATGCAGAAGGAAACAAAAACCCAAATTGTGTCTTATCCTTCTACAGAGAGGCGGCCCGTGAATGTCGCAGGAAGAAGAAGGAATATGTTAAATGTCTGGAGAACCGAGTGGCCGTTCTGGAGAACCAAAACAAGACACTAATTGAAGAACTTAAAGCCCTTAAAGACCTTTACTGCCATAAATCAGAGTAGTTGCACTCCTGAACACCACACTGGGCCAAGTAGCATTTCAATACCTTTCAAATGCTTTGACTGTTTCTGTCCACCTGGCCTTCCGGTTTGCCCTTGCCTGGTCTTTATCCCCACCCCCACAAAATGGCTCAATCCAGAAGACTGTTATTACAATAAATTTAAAAAACAAAAGTTGTGTACTGTTATCAAGGTCTGATGAGAAAAACTGCAAAAGTGCTAACTGATACTTCATAGGCAATTACAATACAGATCGCAATGACAAGCATATGACAGTGGTTAGCATGCTGCTTTGTGTACGAGCCTGAGTTTTATTGTCATAGTTTTGGCTGATGCCCAGATCATTTAGTCTAATGTTGCTTCACAGAAGAAGAAGAAATCCTGATATCTGCTTGTTTTGTTTTCTGTTTGTTTTTTCTTTGAGTAAATGGTTCAACTTCCAGACCAACTTGAAGATGCAAATCATTCATAATGGTTTACTGAGGTACTAACTTTTACTATCTCTCTTCCAAGTTCAAGTTTGTTTTTTTGTTTTTTTTACTTGAATCAAGGTTCAGTTGTTGAAAAACAGTTTATTTTCTGGCCTCACTGGACTCCCGTAGAGTCCTGCATTTACTATGTAAGCAATAATGCCATCTTTAAGTTGGCCTTGGAGTGTCACTGTTGTAGCTGTCGCTTGCTGTTTAATTTGCCCAGTGGTTTTGGTTTAATATCAAACTGTAAGGCAAGAACTATTTTCACTGTGTCCTAATATGTGAGTCAATAGAAACTTGCCAAAAAAGGTTTTGTTGCAGTGGCGCAAGATCACATTGAAGGCAGTCAGCTTTGAAAATGTTTACTCGCCAAAACTTTGACAAGAACACAAAGCTTGTTTTAAAAAGAAGGGGGGGGGCATTGGTTGATTTGTTTTTTTATTTTATTTATATACATATAAAATTATCTTGTCAATTGATATTTTTCCAGCTGTACTTTTTTTTTTTTTTACTTTCTGGAAAATAGCCAATATGTTGCTGTACCAGGCAAACCCAGTCAGTTGCAGTTAAAGGCTTTGAATGAAACATGAATTTCTACTTGATCCACTCGTTTATGTGAACCACGTTGTAAAGGGGACTCTACAGCTAATTAGGCACAAACAATCCTTTTTTGTCTTCTAAATATTTGTAATGATGCTACCAACTGCCAAAAAGGAAGAAAGTGGAGCTACGTAGGTGCAAGCAGAAAGTTGATTGCCGCAGTCGTATGTGTTATATAATGAAATGGTAATATTACAATTTTCTATTCAATGCTTTTTTTTCTCATGACGATTGTCGCTACTCCCGAAAGATCATTAGCACTGTTTTAAAGGCAGATTATTTTTGTTACAATCTAGACTAAGTTTTTATAGTTTTAGTAAAGATTCCTAGTAATTCTGGGAACATTTTACTCATTAGCTTAAGGAAAATTTTCAATTTTAGACATTAGGTATATTCATGGTTTAAATTATTAAAGTGTTGCATTTGCCAATGCACGCTCTTAATTTGGTGCGTAAAATGCTCTCACAACAAAATTTTAGAGGATTAAAAGAAGAAGGAAGCAAGCCCAAGTAACACAAGCGACAAACTTTTGTTTTGTTTTGTTCTTTAATCTTATTTCCATTTTGCAGTGTCTGTTAAATGATGGTAAAATCTGAATTGTGACACCACAAGATTGCGGGTCATTTCTGGATATGTAGCAGATTGGATCCTTGGTGAACTCTACAGAAGATAACGGCTACAGTAACATGAGTTTAACTCTAATAACCCGTGAAGATGTACACTCCATTGAGAGGAGATCACTTTGTGGGACTGTGTGTGGTTTTTGAACAGATATGTGTATGTATTTGTGTGTTTATTTTTTTATATTACTGTACATAGACTCTACAGCATGTGTAGAACTCATGTATTTCTGTTTGTTTGATATGGAAAAAAATGTTCTTATGGCTTGTATGAAAATCAACTTTGCATATTTGTAACATATATCAGTGTATAATTGAAAGAAATGTATGTGTGTATTCATGTTATCCACCGGGCCTACCACCGTCATGGCAGCTAGTGTATGAGAAAAGGCCTTCAATGGAGATGTTATATTTTGGAGTGTTCTTTAGGATCAGTAGTGTTTGTAGACAAAAACAAGTCTGTTGAGAAGCATTTGGGGTCCACAAGATATATCAGCTTCACAATTTTGTCATTGGAAAACTTTATTAGGTTTCCTAAACATATCTTTTGTCTATGCTCATGGAATTTGAGAATATCTTTCCCATTGTTTAGGGTGACTTTCAAAATAAAATGTATTTCATAAGAAAGCAATATTTGTTTTAACAGAACATAGTGGGGAGTTTTAGCAGTGATACGATATGTATATCAACTGTTTCTGTTCAAACAAATGTTATATTATATTGTTGTGACATAAATTTGTTATGAAAATCATTCTAAATGAGCAGAACCTCCAGCAGGTCTAAGTTAAGAAATTAAAGCACAGTTTTTATTTTTTCTTATGTCAATTCAATCTTTCATTCATTTTAACCAGAACATTACTGCAATCCTCTCTAATGAAAAGTTTGAGGCATTTTTAGTAGGAAAGATGCTGACATGAAAACTTCAAAAGCTAGAAAGGGAAATTTAAAAAATGTCCTTCAGCCCACGGTTGTGATCTTTATACTCATCAACAAGTCGTTTGGTCCACTTATTAGCATTTGGGAAGCATTTGAAAGCTTTGTTCAGAGCTTTCAAATGCTTCCCGCTCTTCAGCTACACATTTGCACAACAGAGTGCGGACTTTGATTTAAAGCAATCTGTAGAATTCGTAAAGTCATAAATAATGTTCTTGTACTGCACTCCAGGGGATGATGATGATGATAAAGTCTGATGATCGAGAAAACCATAAATGGGCTAAAAATCTGTATTTAGTAATAAATGCATGGTGAGTGCCAGGGCTCTAACAGTGTGTTCAGGGATTGGTAGCAGTGACAACTTTTAGATACCAGTGCCATTATGATGCGACAGAGAGGAAATGCAAGAAAGTCAACCCCTTTGTAATTCAAACTTTCAGTGGTGCTTATATTAAAAAAAAAAAAATCTAGTAATAACTTTCTTTTCTGTTGATTTGATATGGTGAGCTCAACTTTGTGATGTGATTACACAATATCTTTTAAACGATAATTGTTTTGATTTCTGTTTGTGTGCCAGAATAATTTGTAACAACGGGCCTCGTTTGTGCATGTAACAGAACGATATCCATGTGTGTAAAGGTGTGTATATATAAACAGGATTTCTAGAACAGTAATAATGACATTTTTTCTAACTTTTAATGTGATGAGTTTGTATATTGCCACTTTTGCAAGTTATCAATTGAAAATGCCATGTATCATACGGTACCTTGTATAGACGGGGTTGCCAGATGAAGAATTCAATACTGTTTGTTTAAACATTGTCAAATTATAAAACTATACCAGCCCATTATTTCAAAGTGCTGTTACTCTGGCATTATGTCACTCTTTTGTAAACACTTGCTATGTCACAATAAACTGATACTGAAGATTATATATCCTATTGTTAATTGTATTAATTGTATTGTGTGTATTTTCAATCTGCTTGACTGCGTTGTGTTTAGTGTTCTATTTCTAATAAAATGGTAGCATGTCAGTTTAATAATCATGATTATCCAAGTTTCAACATGTACGAGGACATCGAGAAAGGGGTGAGGTGTGAGCTTTTCAGTGTGGCAGTGGTGTTACATCAGTGATCAGCTCTGAGCCTTGTTTGCAGTGGTGTTTGACGGGTTGACAGATGAGGTCAGGGAGGAATATGATGTTTGCAGACGATACTGTGATCTATAGTGAGGGTGAGGAGCAGTTCAAAGAGAGCCTGGAGAGATGAAGGTGGAGGTATGCACTGGAGAGAAGAGGAACAAACGTCAGTACAAACAAGCCGGAATACGTGTGTGAATAAGAGATGAAAATGGCAATGTAAGAAGCAAAAGCAGTAAAGACGAATGAGTTGAAATGCCTGGGATCAAGTATTCAAAGCAACAGAAAATGTAGGGGTGGGGTGGGTAGAAGTCTCAAATCTATTCTAACATGCATTTAAACCCATAATACGTGACCATGAACACTAGGTATGTGTAAGCCAGTTTAAACACTAAGCAAAAAAAAAAAAAAAGAAGGTTGTTTGCTATAAATTTAAGCTGATGGGTTTGGGGTAACTGTGGCTCAGGTGGTGGAGCAGGTTGTCTTTGGGATGTCAGTGGCTTGATCTCCTGGCTTACCGTATCAAACACACTGTAACTTAAACAATGGAAGTGGTTAGGGGAGAAAATCATTTGATGAAACAGCTGCAGTAAACAACTAATAGTAGCTAATTATCTATAGTCATGTGATCAGAACGCACTTTGCCTGCATATTTTTCTCCCTCACAACACCAATGATCCCACACTTCTTTTCAGCATGTCTCAGTCCTTTGCATGTTTTGGTATCTGTCACTTCTGAAGCTGTTCCATCACGTTTTTGTCACTGCGAAACACTTCCATTGTTTTTCATGTGCTTTTGCAGTATTTTCTATTTGCATGTGCTTTCTTGATGTTCATTATGATTTTATTTATATAATCGCCTCAAGGCGCTTTATTTTGTAAGGTAACACCCTTTTAACAGGAAGAAACCTCTAGCAGAACCAGGCTCAGGGAGGGGCAGTCATCTGCTGGGTTCAGGTTGGGGTGAGGGGAGGAAGACAGTGTGTAGTGTGTTTGACCTCTCTGGGTCACCGTACTGGCTCTTCCTGTCCATGCGTCCACCCCGAGTTGCCTGTGACATATCTTTAGGGAGTGTGAGTATGTGTGTGAATGTTAGGCAGTGTTGGTCAAGTTACTTGAAAAAAGTAATCAGTAACTAATTACTGATTACTTCCCCAAAAAAGTAATCCAGTTACTTTACTCATTACTTATTTTCAAAAGTAATTAGTTACTTAGTTACTTTTTAAAAAACACGATTTACAACCTGAAGAGGTGATAAAGTGATAGATCTGTCAGCCCAATTCTACTTTTTCTACATAATCCATCATACAAAATGTAATCAAATGGAAAAATCTCTTTTTTTAACTTGTTTTATCAGTTTTAATCTTTTAACTTTATGCATCAAGCAAAAATTTAATTATAGGCTATGCAACATTCTCTGAGTTGAATAAATTAGTTTAACATTTAAACCTATTTTCTGCACATTCCAGCACATAAAATAAAATATTTTTTGTGTTTACACTCAGTCTTTCAAATAGATGCAAGTAAAACACAGCAGAACATAAATAAAGTCAAAGACTCAGCGGTCCTGTTGCTCTATTTTCACCTATTAAGCAGCACCGCGGTAGGCGGAGGTTTACCCTGGTGCAGGTGTGCCGCAGCGGTCAGTTGAAGAATCCGGGACTTTCTCTGTGAGTTTCCCATTACGTCGTTGCGCACTCGGTACTTGCTTGGAAGTTTAGGGGGTTTTTTTCGCTGTAAAAAGAAGTTTTCTTCCCATGCACGATGGACGCTAATGTTTTTGTCACTTTTTATGGAATCAAACTCAAAGTAAGGTCAGTACTTCCACGCTTTAAACGCTGCACGCTCATACTCTCTCCCACAATCGATATGTGATCCATTGTTGATCTGCACACAGCTGTTGTCACTAACGGCGCACTCGCTTACGTCACTGTCGTGAGACATTCTCGCAAAAAATCACGGTTTTAGTAACGCAGTAACGCAGTGTTCCTACGGGAAAGTAACGGTAATCTAATTACCGTTTTGCAATAGTAATCCCTTACTTTACTTTAAAGTTACAAGTAACGCGTTACTGCCCATCTCTGGATATAAGTGCTTAAGTATAGATTTGGGAAAAGAAATACTGTATAACTGTGTGTAATTGGGTGAATGAGAATGAAAGGGTTTTGAGCACTTAAAACTGAGGAGAAAGATGCTTATAGGTACCAGTCCATTTCCCATTTATAAGTAAATTCAAGTATATTGGGTATTTACTTAAAAAGTAGTTGAAGTCTGCTGAAGTATGTTTTTTAGTCTCCAGCATGAACTTGCAAAAATAGGGTTGGATGACTGACATGGCTTTCTTTGTTTGTACTTAGAATTTCATGTTTACACATTAAAATATTCAACATACACACACATACTGCTGGCAGATTGACACTAGTGTATGATTTATGTCATTTGCTTATTTAATCATTGAGCAAAATTTTAATACAATCTGTGATTTCCCTGCTTCATCACATACAGCCAAGAGTGAGAAGGAAGAGGAGTCAGGAATCCTGTTTCTGAAACCAGAGAATGTGAATTTAAGTTCTGTCTGAGCTGCCACATTTTAATAAAAACTGTCTGACACTGGTTTTCAGTGGCCTATCATCAGCTCACGGATTCATCTTTAAATATTTGTCAGGGCTGTATGGGAGTTTTTTTTATCCCTAAATAATAATAATAATAATAATACATTTTATTTGAAAGCGCCTTTCAAAACACTCAAGGTCGCTGTACACAGTAGTAGTAGTAGTAGTAGTAGTAGTAGTAGTAGTAGTAGTAGTAAATCTTCCTCTCACTCTTAGGCTTCACATTTAATTAAACAGCCATTCTTATTTGTTTAATGAATTAAGATTTAACAAATGTAGCATGTTAAAAAAATATACCACCTGACTTACAGTCCCTGCTTGCCTATCCAAATTTATTGCGTTGTTTGAATAACAAAAGATGCACTGAGTGACAGGTAGTGCAATAGAGGATGGGCTTCGGTTTTCACTGTCAAAAAAGGGTGTGGATCAGTGACGATACAAAAATAGGAGCGTTGTAATTACGTTTCATGAGTTTAAATCTTCTTTGATAGACAGCCTTCACAACCAATTAGCAGGGTTTAAATGCTCGCCCATTGATTTATTAGCCAATAGTAATGCATGGAATTCCGAGGTGGGCGGGCTTACCACGTTCAGTGCCAAGGCTTGTCCGTTTGGGAGCTCCGGCAACAGATGGTGGCAGTGGCGTCTACCTACGGCACAAATCTGACAGGGAGGAGACTCAAATGGGGGTGTCCGGAATTGTGAATAGAGTTGGTTGTCTAACGATGGACCGGAAGAAGACTTTGTCAGTGCAACTCCATTGATAATTTCTTGGCTAGTCTTTTAGAATTTTATCCTTTTTTTCTTTGTTTTCCAAAGAAGGCCGCAAAAGCCTCGAACTGGATTTGTCGACACACTGGGCTCAGTTGCAAGAGGGCATCTCTGGGATTGCTCGGAAAGTCTCGTAAAATATGTCTGCTGGAATGTGACATTTTGAAGACGTAACACGGTCATTTTGAAGAGACTGTTTTATTTACTTGGTACCACAAAGTTGAATTGATGAGGAGCAGAGAAAAGTTAACGAACCGAGCTAACATGCTATAATGCTAGTTGGCTACTTAGCATCGAAACTCTGGCATGTTGAATGAATGAATGGACCAGCTGCTTTAAACTAAGAGCGGCTTTTGTTAGGACGAGAATATATCGACTGTTACATACGCCCAGTCTGACTTTCCACTAAAAGGCAAAGCTTTTGGCTGTTTGGTCTCCGGCTGCTGCTTTACTTAGCCACAAATGGACAGGAATGCAGTTCCTGGGAATTGGTGGAGAGCGGCGTTTTAGGACGCAAAGATAATGTGCTTGTACTGAGTGCAGCCTGGTAATGTTTATGAGGCCGAGGGAGGCTAACCTCAGCTAGCTATATATATTTGCACTACTTGGATTTGGCTGCTATCGTGTGAAGCTTCCGCTCAGTTTGGAATGGGGAATACGGTGTCATGCTGCGTGTCTCCGGAGTCGAGCCCCAAACTGCCATCGAGACTGCCGGCAGAGCGGCTGGAGGAGTTCCAGACCAGCACCGAAGTGAGCGACGACACTGTGCCCTACCTGCAGCACATAAGCGACAGAGAGGTCCCTGATGGTAAGAGCCTGCCAGACATCCAGCACTTAACGATTCCTTTATAGCTTTAACCCCCGTTTCACTTTTCAGTATCTGGGCCTGTGAAACACTACACCCATATGTGTTTGTTTACAGGGAGGCTCATCCTAATCCACCCACTGGCACAGAGCAGAATGATCTTTGTGTGACTCCCAAGCACACACGCAAACTTTGATGACTGTATACAGGCTACATCATGTATGCACAAACTTCTGTTAATATTGACCCACGGGATGAATCGAAAGCGAAAGATCATCCAAGAACTAAGTAATAATAGTGTTTCACAACATGCACACACCACACCCACTTTGGTTATTGCCTAGTTACACCTTCTTTGTATTTATTACCATGCCAGTGGTAAAACTGGCCTTTTTAATTAGGACATTCTTGGCACCATTTATCCACTGCATTATATTGATCAAATTGGCATTACATACAAAAGTTAGACATCAAATGTGAAAACAAGCTTTTTGATATCTTGGTTACTTAGAATCAATTTCTGCAATCTACTGTGTGGGGAAACTTGAAAAGGTAAAAATAAAGAAACTGAGACACACACACACACAAAAACAAACCCAAATGGCAACTGTGTTTAGTATTTTCTTTTTTTGCATGACATTTTTATGTTCACGCATGAAATTTACATATTCCTTAGGAAATAACTTCATCTTAATGTGTCTTTAAGCAGGTAGTGGTTGAACACAATGTTACAGAATAAAAAGTACATATTAAGTGTTGTCCCCCTCTTAGTTTTGATGCCCACACTGTAATTTCATGCTGTGGTACAGACCCCGATCAGGAAAGTATCTCAGATATTTCTGTGTGATGTAGAGCCAAGCTCAGTCCTTATGTCGCCACTCTTTATTGATTCCCCAGCTTGCACAGTTTATTCCATTTATGAGGTTATGGACAGTTGTGAGTGCAGTTTGTGAAACCAGCTGTTGGCAGGGTGAAAGTGGGAGGGGGGAAACAGGCCAGCAATCTGTCATGCATTCCTTATGGTACTCCCTTAACAAATGCTTCTATCACCTAATCCCTTGTATTTTATGTAATGTGCCGTCTGCATGAATTTGGAGAAAATGGATTTCTAAGTTGTGGACGTCTATGAACCAGTGCCAGCAAATCAAACTAATGACACTTGTGCTCTGTTTAATGTCTAAGTTGTTTTGAAAACCAGAGGTTTTGTTTTAAATGTAGTGAAAAGTTTTAACATAGTGCTTGTGTCCTTGATAGTCTCTGTATTTGCACAGTAAATTGAAAAAGTAATTGGACAGTAATGCCGTTGCATTTGCTAATAGTACTCGGGCAAATTGGATTTAAGGAGTAAAGGTCATTGTAATTGTAATGCTTTAATTGAAATTTTGCACACAATCCACCTGTCAGGCAACACGATTACATTTAGTTCTTCTAAGTCAGATGTGTTGGAGGCTTTAAACCTCCAACACATAAGCACAAACAGGTTCCCAGTCTCTCTAATCTGTTCTGAGCTTCATGTCTTGTTTGTCTTTAAACAATTAAAAGACTGTCTTTATTACATTATTCTCCACTATTTATGATGATGATTTACATAAATACACTGTGTGATCTTATAAGTGTTTGATGGTTTTGTTAGCTCACAACTTTATGGTTTTTCTTTTCTTTCTTTATTAATGCAGAAACAGGAGCTAAATGCTTCACACCAGCCACTAATAATGAACATTTAAATGCTTTTCTTCCTTTTGTTGTATCAGAGCTGGCCTTGGAGTCTAATCCATCGGACCACGCCCGAGCAAGCACCATTTTCCTTAGCAAGTCCCAGACAGACGGTGAGCAATCATAACATGACACTCACACAGCAGTGATTCACACAAACTGTCTTCATCTAAATCCCAGTTAACAGAAAACATGCACACATCTTTTCACTTGAGCAAATGTTTGAAATTCAGTGGTCTTTAACCTGCCAGCTCCCCTAGTTGTGAGATGATCGGCTACACCCTCAGAGAACAGCACCGGTAACTGTTGGGTGAAATTACAACACTCTATCCTGGCTGAGACCTTAGTTATAGATCCTATTGTTATAGCTGCTGCTCTGCAGATACATAAGTGTCTTTTAAAAATTCATCACTTTCTTACTGTAGAGTTTAAGACTAAGATGTATCATTTAAAAAACCAAGTTGGCGATTACTTGAAAGGGTCTCAGAAGATTTTTAGAATTTTATAAGGAAAATACAAAATAAATCACTTTTAATGGTTTGCTAACCTATGCATTATGAGTTATGTGTCCAAGACATAGTTGAATAAGTATATATGGTATTATATTTACAGAAAAATATCTAAACAAATGTAAATAAACTCTTCTAACTATAATTTATTTTACATGATTCTTGAGTGTGAAAAGGCTGTTAAGTGCTGTGGTATTACAATTAGTCTTCTGTGATTGATGCTGCTTTTAGTCTTTGTTGAACATTTTAATTCTTTTGCAGTACGAGACAAGAGGAAAAGCAACCACATAAACCATGTCAGTCATGTAAGTGTTTTGAAAATTTACATTAAATTTTTGCTTTTAATATTTAAAAAAAAAATCAATCACACTAAGCTTGGTTTTTAATATCCTAATGGTGACTTTAATATAACTAATTAAATGGAACTTATGAACTTAATTTATGGGCTATTAGCTTGTACATTTCATATTGTAGAGGGCTTCATTTGCGTTTATTGCCAGTGAATGAATCACTTTCAGCGAGGAAAACATTTAAACAAAGATGATCCACAAATATTGTTAAAACAAAACAATTATAACACAGAACTTTCAAAAAATTGGAAATGTAGGAAGCATGCGTGACCGTCTGTCCCCTGAACACCAGTTAATTGTGTGTTGTATTTTTTTGTTTTTTTAAATGTGTGAAGGTGTCCCCTGGTCCACTCTCAAAGAAATACAGCTCCTGTTCAACCATCTTCATAGACGACAGCACCGTCAGCCAGCCAAACCTCAAAAGCACAATCAAATGGTGAGAATGTCTCTCAGAAACACAAACACACAGGGCTATGTTGTCCAAAGGTCCCTCCCTCAAAACAAAGTCCTGTTACATCAGAGCATAGTAATCCTGGAGTGTTAGAAAACAGATGCGTGACTAAAGCTCATGTTGTTTCCCCTCGTTTAGGACAATAATCTGTAGTGACATTAGTCCAGTGAATGTGGATCATTATATCAGGATTATCTGAGTGTGATTAAATGAAGCCTTCTCGCTGAATGTGTCAGATATTTTGTCACACTATAAGCTCTAATACACATGCACACACGATGCTAGTGTCACACTGAGGTTGTAGCTATTAAACTAATCGGGGGGTTTTCTTTCTCTTTCAGTGTCACTTTAGCAATATACTACCACATCAAAAACAGGTATGTGTAAATGTTGGATTTGATTACTATCGTGTAACTTTTGGCAGATTATTTTATTAAAACTAGTGTGCCTGTGAAGTATATTGACTGATGTATTGCTTGTGCTGTAGGGACTCGGACAGGTCACTGGACATCTTTGATGAGAAGTTGCACCCCTTGTCGGTGAGCATGTTAATGAAATTAACCAGCTCTCCAGCTCAATAATGGTGGTAGACTCACATCGTTCATGTTGATGTGAGTCAGTATGAAGACCCATCACATTTACATGTGTAGGCACTCTGCCCACCGGTCTTCTTTGGGCCACGTTTTTCTAGAAACTTCACAAGTTATTAAGAGTTGTGATGCATCACAAAAGGGATGTGAATCACTGTTTTAAAAAGAACCCATAATGAGGAAGAAAAACATCCTCTCTTGCGGTCTGCATTAATGACTTCCATTCAGTTGTAGATTTGCGATAAAGATGCAGAAGTGGTTTCTTTTCACTGCCTTACAGCGTGCTTTTGGCAGAGCTGAAGTTATCGTAGTGGAAAATAAAGAAATTTCACTGTTAAACTTATTCTACAGTTTCCATTAATAATGGATTTCAGCAGCTAAATGGTACAGCTTCTTTTTCACCAATCAATTTTCTATACTTAAGAATGTAATCATTGCATCATGCCTGACACATCCAGCTTTTTGTGGTGCGTTTCCACACAGCTTTTGGCTCCAGACTTTCAGATGAATTACTGAGCTACAAAAAAATAACCCCAAACAAACAAATGTGACCTGATTGTTGTTAGACCTTTGTTGCTTCTGTCAGACAAGTGTGTATTTTTCACCTCATGCAGAGAGAGCCGGTGCCTGATGACTACGCATATGTAGACCCAGAACACAAACTGATCTACCGCTTCGTCAGGACACTGTTCAGTGCTGCACAGCTGACTGCAGAATGTGCCATTGTCACTCTTGTAAGTGGTGTCTTGATTTATTTATCACATTTACAACAGTAATTGCATTGCACACTGCATATTTGATTTCACCCAGTGTGTTTATAATGTTTTAATTCTTTTTCCTTTTTTTATATTGTTTTTGATTTCTGTCTGGGTTTGTTTTTTGTTTTGTTTTGTTTTTTTGGATGGAGCTCATGCCATGGTGTACTTCTACAGTATCAGAATTTAATCAAACACACAAAGATCACCAAGTGGATATTAATTCAAGTTGTGCTCAGCATCGTGTTTGTCTGTACTGAAGATAACCTGAGTGACATGAACACAGCTGTGGAGGTTTTTGTTGTTGAGTACTTTGATGTTGTATTAAATGGCCACCAGATGGCAGTGAACGCCTGCATTTATGCTGTTTTCCCAAATAGCAGAAATGACAGTTGATCGTCAGTATGAAGACAAAAGACACTCTTAAGTCAGAGCTGTCAGAGTAGGATTCTCGAATTTTTCTAGCTCAATCCCTATATTTACTTTCAGTTTATATCATCCTACAGGCTGGGTATTTTGGAAAGTAGTGTTTTGCTTATTTATTATTTTCAGCTGTTGCAAAAATGAAAACTCAGTATTCTGTTTTCAAAATGGCAAAAAAACAACAACACATCTTTGTAGTTTTGCAGTGGTGCTGTTGTGGCTGTTGGCTTGTCTCATAATCATTGTTATTAGAACAGAAATACAGTGTGGTTACATACTGTAAAAGTAGTCTGGAAGGTGCATATAGGGATTTTGCTCAGTACAGATACACACACAACCAGACTATTGTTCCTGACTAATTGTAGTGAACTAGCAAAGGAATTATTAAAACCTCTGAAGCTTTTAACATTCTTCGTCCTCAAGGTGTACCTGGAGCGCCTGCTGACCTACGCTGAGCTTGATATCTGCCCCGCCAACTGGAAGCGTATTGTCCTGGGAGCCATCTTACTGGCTTCTAAAGTCTGGGATGACCAAGCTGTGTGGAATGTCGACTACTGCCAGATCCTAAAAGACATCACTGTGGAGGACATGTAAGTTGTACAAGTGATCTGAAAAATGAGAACATGGTGACTGTAAAAGAACCACTGGATTTAGTAACCTGTTTCCTGTTAATATAGTCACATCCTTGGTGAACTCTAATTTCTGTAGAGAAGATCAATCAACTTGTTCAGAAAATACATGTTAAAATAGTAATGTCAAATATTACCAAGAATGTAAAGCAGATTTAGTGCTTTAAGTACACATATCAAGGCAAATCTTACTCAAGGGTTTAGAATAACAACAATTCAAATGAAGGAGTGAATTTATCAAGGAAATCCTTGTTTTGCTGGTGCTGACTGATCAAACAGCATACCGACTGTGGAACCAAACAGTCTTTTCATTCTGCTGTACTGGTATCTTGCAGGCCCGTGTGAAGCACCACGATCAGAGTGCATTCAGTCAAAACTAGTTTGCTAGCAGACATGCTAGAAATGAAATGTGGTAATAGCTGTTTCAAGCACTTGTAAGTGGAATGAAAAGCAAGAGAAGATGTGGGTAGAAGCTTGAATATGATGCACAATTTCAGAACATCGCTTCTGAAACATAATTGTGACATTTCACTTAAATTTGAAAGAAAGTGTTTGATAAATTCAGCTAGGAAGAAGAGCACCGTCCCCATTTAGCACCTCCTAAGGCCGTGGCACTCAGCCTGTGTACAAAGCTGATTTCCCCCTTTGGGTTTGGAAAGAGATGCCGCTGTCACTGAATCAACATTGTTCCAGATATCCTCAGGTCTGTTTGAGAGGTTGAGAGAACATACAAGTACCCAAAATCTTTATTGGGTACTTGTTTGGGTTTGTTCTTGGTGAACTCTGGGGTGCCAAAATGTGGGTTGTTGGCATGTTCAGGTGGGGAAAGCTCCAGGAAATGCACATGCAATGAGAAAATGAAGAAATGTGTTGATTTAATAATTTATTTATTTGTTTTTTGCTGTCCAGCTAGGAAAATTGTTTGTTAATAATGCTCAATCCGCCCCACTACCATCATCACCAATAAATAAATAAATAAATAAAAGGAATACATCAACAAGGATGCACTTAAAGCAGACAGATGAAATACGGGGATGGAGAGAAGCCACAGCAATCTGTGCTGTCTGTCAGGCTATAAGAGTCGAGAGGCTGCACTTGGAAGACCCAGGCTTTATTTCCTACAATTGCTTTTCGTGTGTGTGCGCGCTCATATGCGTGTGTTTGTGAAAGAGGTCGAAAGTGCCTCCTTGTTTTTTTGTGATTTGGAAAGATGCGTGTGCGCTCTCTCTGCGAGCCCCCATCCCTCTCATACGTCTGACCTACCCTGTCTGTGCCCTGTTTTCATTGCTTCCTCTGAAGTGTCTTTGTGATCCCGGCCCGGTCTGGATGGAGGGATGGGAAGAGGAGTAGAGGGAGAGAGAGAAACAGAGACGGAGAGAAGTGGAGAGGAGGGTCTCAAGTGCTCTCACTGCTTCTACATAATGGTCCTGGCTCTCGCCCGCTCCATTAGTTGCCCCGGGAGACCAGACATCACACACACACTCACACACTCGCTCTCACCACCTTTGCTGACCAACAAAGCATCCTGGATGCTGTCTCCTTGGCGACCACCTCCCTTAGATTTTACTCGTGACTGTGATGATGAGGAAGGATGATGGAGGTTGTAGTCTTGAAAAGGATGAGCTGCGATACTCCAGCTAAGTGCCTGGATGTCTGATTACCCACGTGTGAGTGTGAGCCCTTTATAAAGATATATCAGATTCCATCTTCTGAGAGATGAGTTTTAAAGCTGAAAGCGACTGAATATAAAAGTTTGTGTAGAGAGAGGTTTGTCCTGTCTGCTTTTGTTTCTTCAAATCGTGTCGTCTTCACTGCTGCTTGCTAAACGAGCAGAACTCATCAAAATGTCTTGTTGAGAAGTTGTTTCTTACCTGTCAGTTGGACCCTGGTCCCCTTTTCTGTGAACAAGTACAAAAAGGAACTTTTGCAGTGGTTGTTTTGGGGGATTAGTTTACAGTGGCTTTTCACTAAAAAGATATTGTATACTAGGAACTTTCATATGTTGTGCTTGCAGGAGAAATTGTCTAAGCTAAATATTCCCTTAATGCACAACTGTAGTTGACTATTTACTTCAAAATATTACTCATCCACCTGCTACTAATCAAGGCTGTCGCAACAACTAGTGCTGTGTGATACTGCAAATTTTAATATTGATCCGATACCATCTAAATACAGGGCCAGTACCATCCATCCATCCGCTTCCACTTATCCTTTTCAGGGTCGCGGGGGGCGCTGGAGCCTATCCCAGCTGTCATAGGGCGAGAGGCAGGGTACACCCTGGACAGGCTGCCAGTCTGCCGCAGGGCTAACACATATAGACACAGACAACCATTCGCACTCACATTCACACCTATGGGCAATGTGGATTAATCAATTAACCCATCCCCATAAGCTGCATGTCTTTGGATGGTGGGAGGAAGCCGGAGTACCCGGGGAGAACATGCAATCTCCACACAGAAAGACCCCGGCATGATGGTGGAATTGAACTCACTTCATGCTGTGCGGCAACAGTGCTAACCACCGTGCTACCATGCTGCAATAATACAATAAAGGCAGCTTATGTAATGAAGAGACCGTGTCATGAGTTCTGGGATGAATCATCATCATTTTTGTGAATTCTCAACATAATTGTAATGATCACTAAATAACAGATTTTCAGTTTTCACAATAATTAAAAAAATCAAAACAACAACACACTGAAGTTTTTCATGAATTTTAAATGTGTCTGTCTTTAAAGCACCTCTGTCAGCTTCTGCTGTTTAGATGTGCTATAGTCTACAAATAACATAAACATGATAGTCCACACAAAAAATAGACATTTGTCATGGTTAATAAGTTGTGATTTTGTTTTTCTTTATTATATTACAATAAAAAAAAAAAATTAAAAAAAACTCAATTCAGTTGATACATACTGAACTTAAGCGACACAAAGTATCTATTCAATACCAAAACCACCAGCAATAGCAACAGTACTATTAATATTTGAATCGGTACGCCCACCTCTATCCATAACCAGCCGCTTGAAGTTTCAAAAAGCAGGTTGCAAAAACAAGTGTGATTCTGATAAATCTTTTCAAATGTCTCCTACTGTGTCACAAATTATGTAAAATGCAATTATTTTTTTTAACTTTGAGACTGGGTGACTAGGCTGTTCTTTCCTAGGTAAAAAATGGGCTCTATTTTTTACACACACTCATACCTTACAGTCCAAATTACGTCCCAGGTTTTGACTGTTGGGAATAACCCTAAGGTGTCTTCCTGATCTCTAGGAATGAGATGGAGCGCCACTTCCTGGAACTTCTGCAATTTAACATCAATGTGCCGGCCAGCGTCTACGCCAAGTACTACTTTGACCTGCGACAGCTGGCCGATGACAACAACCTCAGTTTCCCTCTGGAACCCCTCAACAACCAGCGTGCCCAGAAACTAGAGGTAAGCTTCCTTCCAGAGACTACAGAACATCCGTCTGTAATACTCATCTAACGCTGCCTCGGATTAGGAGTTGCTGGTAGATACTCTGTATTCTCAAGTTAAAGGCTGTTTATTTTGGCAACTGTTTCTATGGCATTTACAAGCAGGATTTAATTGAACTAATAAAAGTGTTAGTGATTAGTACAGTAGGAAGAACCACCCTCTGAAAACAGTCTGAGAAATTTCTTATGTAGCTTTTTTGCTCATGACCTGGATTTTTAAAGTGCAACAAAGGCTGTTTTATCATTTACTAATCATTAGATACCTTTAATTCAAACCACCTGGTTAAATCAAAATGATCTAGTCCATCTGTGTGTGACTTTTGAGTAATTGTGCTTTGATAATGCTCCTCCAGGCCATTTCAAGACTATGTGAAGACAAGTACAAGGACCTCAGTCGAGCCACAATGAGGCGATCTCTCAGCGCAGACAACCTGATAGGTATACGACGCTCCAATGCTGTGCTCTCATAGACTGCTGCCCTCTGACCTCCAAAGTTCAGCTAACCCACAGCCAGCCCCAGAAAGCATTACCCACAGAGTTATCAGGCAAGGACAAAATGCCACTGTATGACCTGTCCACACGGTAATTTACATTACAGCTGTAGACGTGCGTGATTGTTAAATTAAAGGTGTTTACCTTATCTGAAGCATTATCATTTGACTGTTGTTTTTACAAGTCCTTTATTTATTTGTTATGTCTATCACTTCTGAGAGAACACATTGAACATGAATGATTGAGTTCATCATCTGTCTGAAATACACTTTAGTTTCTATTTTTTTCTTTTCTACAAAAGTGTTTGAATTACTTCATGCAGCCTTAAAGGATGAAGAGAGTGGTGAGTTATATTTGTTGTTACTGTCACCGTATTCCACGAAAGACCAAAACCAGCAAATGTTAATTGTTCAGATGTGGCGAATTGGTTTTTTTGGTTTTTTTTGTTGTTGTTAATGAAGATTGAAATAATGCTTGAGTGCTATAGCAAGTTAATGTTGGTTGGTCATTTCCTGGGATTCCTTAACAGTATATAAATATAAACTTTCACCAAATGTATCTTTTTTTTCCTTTAGCCACAAAAAAAATGCAAAATGATCTTTGTTGTAAATTAGATTTAATACCAGAAGTTACTGTGGCGACTGTAACTCAGACATGTTTACTGTCGATATGTTTCGAGTACATTTTTCTGTCCATCAGGATTGAACATCCACCATGTCTCATATTACAAGACACTGAGCTGTTATCACTGTGTGGGAGCTGGCTGACGTCTTCTCAGTCAGCTGTTTTGTGACAGGAAAATCAGGAGTGCCATTTGCAATTTGGTGTTAAGTTGTGTATACCACGGGTGATCAAACAAGGCTGTTTACTGACTCTGGATCAGTATTTGAAAATTAATGGCTCCATATGGAAGTTGGGTATATGCAGGTCAGCCTCAGTATTAAGTTCCTTAGATCCTCATTCCCACCGCCCCACCCCCCGCCCCCCATCAGATCACCAGTGTTGTTCTTGTCCAAGCACCCATCCAGCCTAAGGTTTGGAACACACTACACAGATACTGAGGGGGAAAACAAACTGATGGATGCTCCCCTTCTCTTTTGCTTACTATGTAGGCTTCTAGCTGTGAAGTTTGTCTTGTTTTTAATTGAAAAAAAAAAAACATTTGCAGATGGAGTATTTTAAATAAACACTAATCATGTAACAAATGTGGTTTATTGTCTTTTATATTGTGTCTTTATGATCAGCTAAGTTCTAAACATTGTTGAGAATATTGAGCCTGACTTCCCAGAGTTCAGTTTAAACACTGTGTTATAGCCGAATATTAGAAAAACACAACATGCGCCATTCATTAACCTTAGCTGGCATTATGATATCTAAATCAAAAACAGCCCACAGTTGTGAGGGAATCAGAGAATCGCTCCTATTGTAATTCCTTGGTTTTTACAGACATGCAGCTGCACGTCTCTTAACAGGTACTAGAAGCTATGAACACATCACTCCAATTTTAGCCAACTTACATTGGCTCCCTGTTAAATATGTAGATTTTAAAATTCTTTTGTTCACTTTTAAAATTATAAATAATTTGGCGCCCAGCTATCTTTCCGAACTCCTCCATTTGTACAATCCCAATAGAGCACTTAAGATCATCCAATCAGATGCTCCTAGCACAACCTAGGTGTGACCGAGCCTTTGCAACGGTAGCACCCAGACTCTGGAATAACCTCCCTGTTCATATTCGTACTGCTGAGTCTATCCAGTCTTTTAAATCATGTCTTAAAACATATCTTTGTACTTTGGTTTTTGATTCTAACTAGTTGGCTGTTATCTGGCTTGTTCTGCTGTCACCTATGGTTTCCTGCCCTGTTTTCTTATTGTTTTAATTGTCTCATGCTTTCACTGACTGTGAAGCACTATGGTCAACTTTGTTGTTTTTAATATGTGCTATATAAATACATTTTGATTTGATTCTAACCGTTACACAGAACGCAAGCAGTCCAAAGTAGAGCTGATACTTCGCACTAGGAGTACACTGAGAAACAGGTGTGGCTACATGGTTGAATTGTAAACCAGTTTAAGCAGTTTATCTACTTTTTTTTTTTTTAAGGAAGCAGTTCAAATTGTAAACATATATATGAGGCTCTTTTTGTCAGTGGTGAAATTGAAACAAGTTTTTCTTAGTTGAGTTAGATAAATCATTCTGATTGCATAAATATCTAAAGATCATATGAAAGCACTTGTTTTCTGCAAATTTCTGTTAACTGTACTGCAAGTATAGGCAAAAGTTTGTTAAATGCATCTTTTGAATCTATCCTTTGTTGCTTTCAGTGGCATAACAATATACACTCACTTGACACTAAAGTACTACTACCAGGTTGGACCCTTTTGTCTTTAGAACTGTCTGAATTCCACATAGCAAAGATTCAACAAGGTGCTGGAAACATTCTTCAGAAATTTTGGTCCATGTTGACATGACAGCATCACAGGGTTGCTGTAGATGTCAGCTGAACATCCATGATGTGAATCTCCTGTACCACCGCATCCCAAAGGTGCTCTGTTGGACTGACATCCAGTGACTGTGGAGGCCATTTGATTACCGTGATGTGATGTTCAACAAACCAGTTCTGAGATTTGATTTTTGTGATGTGGTGTGGGATAAGATGGATTTGCTCATCAGCAATACTCAGATAGGCTGCAGCATTTAAACAATGCTCAGTTGACAGTAAAGGACCCAAAGTGTGCCAAGAAAATACATTTCTCACACTATTACACCACCAGCAGCCTGAACCTCTTATACAAGGCAGGACTGATCCATGCTTTCATGTTTATGTTCTGACCCTACTATCCTAATTTTGCAATTGTCCAATTTTGGTAATCCATATAAATCATAACCTCAGTTTCCTGTTCTTAGCTGACAGCAGTGATACCTGGTGTGGTCTTCTGCCAGTGTAGCCCATCTCCTACAAGGTTGAAAGCTGCTCTTCTGCACACCTTGGCTGTAATGAGCAGTTATGGAAGTTACTGTTGCTTTAAACTGTAGGTGGTCTTGACCATGTCTACATGCCTAAATGCTTTCAGTGTGTGTAACAGGACTGTGTGCATATTGAAAGTGAACAGATAGAATTCATACAATAGTAGATTTATTTATACAATAGCAAGTATCTTGCTTTTAGTCAGCTGATAGCTTCCTGGATTATTTAAAGACAGACATTCCCGTCAACTGTATTGTCTCTAAAGTTATTTTCACCCCCCAAAAAGTACCTGATTATACGTTGAATACTGTTGTAACACTGTATCTAAGCCACATCAAACCACACATGGTTTACTTCCAACACATTGGACTTCATTATTTTTCTGTTAAATTCTAATGTCCCTCAGGTCAAGTGCTGCATTTTCAGCTTGCTATCAGTAACAATTACTCACATACATCTGATATTTACATATGTCTGGCTGAAGGAATGAATGAAGAATGAATAGGTGTCTTGTTGTGACGTTTAACGATGTAGGGTGGTGCTACAATGTGACAACACATTCCAAGAGATCAGCAATCTATTCAAGGAAACCCTCTTGCAAGAAGTAGGTGAGACTTCGTAGAATAGTTGTGTATTTCCACAAATTTGTCATAAACAGGGCAGCAAATGGTTACACATCCACTATACTGCCATTATTAGTGAATGCAAGAACTTCCAAATCAGGTTACTGAACAACTAATTTCTTCCTAGTTGAACTTTGCGCTCTCGTGCGCACTCTTCAGCAGTCAGTTAATGTTTTAGGGCTTCATACACAGTCAAAAAGCAGTGCACAACGTTCAAGATCCAACACTTTTAATTCCACAACATGAATCAAAATCTACAGTATTTTATCAACGTCCTTTGAGGAGGTCTGTCAATGTAAAAACTGAAAAAACCCCAACATGTACTCTTTAATCTACACATCAGTTTTAGGAGCATTTCTTTTTTTTGGCATTCATCATCACTCATACAATCATTTCCTTCACACACATCAGACTAATAAATTAGAGCTATCTAGCATGTGGGACACACGGTAATCTAAACAACACAAATGACCATCAACAATGAATGGAAATATTACAGAACGTCACAGGTCCAGTCAGTTCTGCATTAGCGCTGCAGCACTCTGCACTGAGACGGATTTCATGTTGTACTCGTCCACCGTCATTCATTTTGTTGTCTTTAGCACTCTCTGTCTCTCTTTCCCATCCCCACCCTCCACACACGCACACTTTTCTGGGTAAACTGTACACCGTGCAGTGAGTGTGACTTCTGAAAGTCAGTTTTTATCAAGTTGTCAAACAGATAACTTACATTAGACCACAGATCCATTCAACATAGGAGGGTTTGGTTCTTACTTACATGAGAAAAACTCAAAATACAGGTACATTCTAAGTTCCTCAGTTAATTAACTATTAAGCAAAAGAGCTTTTAAATTGTGACATTGTTCAAAAAGAAGATTTTTCAAAGTGCTTGTTTTCTTCATCCAGCAGTCCAAATCCCAAACAGAACAAGATAAATAACAACCTGGGAAAATTTAAATTGTTACTTTTTACTTCTATAGATTTAAACTATGGATTAAACTATGTCTTGGTTATTTGTTAAACGTGGCTAGTTCAGTTTTCCAGAGTCTAAGGTGACCTTTACTGTACAGAGTCTAACCCTAACATCTGTTTGTTCTGGCAAAATACTGCTATAAAAATCACTTTGTGGTTCTCAAAGTGAGGTCCAAGGACCTCTAGAGGTCACTGAGCTGAGGTCAGGGCACCACAGAATAATCATTAATTGGTCATTTATGCTATTAATGTTTTTCAACAGCTACGAACAAAATTCAGATGGGTCTGTGGTCTAATGTTCATCTGTTGGGGGTGATGTGGGGGGTGAGCAGGTCCCCTTTGAACCAGCAGATGGGGCTGAAGTTTCATCCTGTATCTTTAACATAAACATTGTGCATTGGTTCACAATACATGAACAAAACTAGATTCCCCCCCACAGAAACTTTAGTGATTTAACGAGACAGTTAAAATGAGAAAAAGACTTTCAAAGAATTTCATCTCTGGTTTTGGGAAAAAGCAACATAATAAGGACCTTTTCCCACCTTCAGTTTGTAACCATACAAAACAATTCACTCAGACACTGACATACTACAGCA